AGTAAGGCACTTGTTACTAGAAGCGATGCACTTGTTCCTAGTAGCTTATTGTTCCTAATAGCTTCTTGCTAGTAGCGATGGCCTCCAATCTAGTAGTTTCTTGCTACTAGAAAGTGAAAAGGCTCTGAAAAGGCTCTGAAAGGATTCTGACAGCTTTCTGGATGTTTCTATGCGTAGTTACCTCGACGGACCAAACAAAATGAGTGTGAATGAATCCTTGAACCAGTTCGAGAAACTCAATTGGTAGATCCTACAGTAGGGAAGCACCCCGCTGATCCTGCTCAATCGGTTGTAGTTGCTCTTGAAGGAAAGCTAAACCCCTTGAAACATCTTCAAACATCTTCCAACCTCAATCACGCCTTTGAATAACAGATCCCAATCAGCCAAACATGTCTCGACCCCTTCGGTGTTTCATCTCTTTGTCAACCCCTGCCTTAGCTCTGGCATCAAGTTCAGCGGCTCCACCTGTCGCCTTCGATTGGATTCCCGGGACTCGTGCGCCGCGTGCGCCGCGTGTGCATATGCGCTCGGCGGGTTCAAGGACATGGACTTCCTGGGCATCACCGGCTGCAAGCCTCGGTGGGGGCTAAAGCTGAAGTTGGGCTAAAGCTGAAGTTGAACTGTCACAGAATTCTCACAGACCAGTAGAGAACAGGAAACATGCTAGTAGGTTGGAGGCCATTGCAAGATCCCTGTTAGCTTTCCAGGGGGGTCTTGCTAGAGATTCAATAAGACATAATTTGGTTGGAGGCCATCGCTATTAGGTTGGATGCCGTCGCTACTAGGTTGGAGGCCATCCCTAGGTTGGAGGCCATCGTTACTAGGGTGGAGGCCATCGCTAGGTTGGAGGCCATCGCTATTAGGTTGGAGGCCATCGCTAGTAGGTTGGAGGCCATCACTACTAGGGTGGAGGCCATCGCTAGTAGGGTGGAGGCCATCGCTAGGTTGGAGGCCATCGCTAGGGTGGAGGCCGTCACTATTTGACACAATGAAATGCTATACTTTGAGTGCTTCTTACCATGGAATTATATTCTGCTGATATCCGCCTTATTGCTTCAACATCACCAAGAAAGCATCTATCGGGAAACAGTATGAACAGGTGAGGGCATCTCAATCTGAACTTTCACCTTGAGATACCTTGAGAAATTTCCAGACTGGTCTCGGGTCTCTCTACCCGGTCATGGCAAAGATCTCTAGTCTACAGGTGGTCTTTGATTCTAACACTTTGAAAGATGTTGAAAGAGAACATGTATCGTCAACTTTATAGTCAACTTATGTTAACTTATCACAGAACATCTTGCCAAGCAAAAAGGTGCGCAGGAAACGTCCAAAAACGATGCCCAGGTTTGGGTCACATGACGTTGGATGGTCCAAGTGGCCGTTTTGGACCAGCGTCTCCAAGCGAACTAACTCCTGCAAAAAAACACAAAGCAAAACAAGTAGGCTCACCAATGCGACCAATCCACGACCGCAGTAATTAAGCACCTTAAATACATTCAGCTGAGAAATGTTCTTTGGGTATTGGTGAGAATGTAATTTCCGGTGTGCTTCTTCCACCAAACCTGCATCTGTAATCAATGTCGGTATCAGTATCACCTCTTGCGAGCAGTCGGTATGAATGTACCTGCCATGCTGGACAATGTCGT